CGCCATGCGAGCTGCGCCACTGGGACCTTAGTTCGAGCGCCCTAGAGGGCCACGAAACGTGAGAGGGGTGTGCCAAACATGGGGCGGCGGCGCCATGCGAGCTGCGCCACTGGGACCTTCGGTGAAGCTCCCAATGGGGCCACGAAACGTGTGAGGGGTGTGCCGACATGGGGTGGCGGCGCCATGCGAGCTGCGCCACTGGGACCTTAGGTGGAGCTCCATGTTTGAAGTTTGTACCAAAATGGGGCGGCGGCGCCATGCGAGCTGCACCACTGGGACCTTAGTTCGAGCTCCCTGTGGGGCCACGACACGTGTGAGAGGTGTGCCAAAATGGGGCGGCGGCGCCATGCGAGCTGCACCACTGGGACCTTAGGTGGAGCTCCCTATGGGGCCACGAAACGTGTGAAGGGTGTGCCGAAATGGGGCGGCGGCGCCATGCGAGTTGCGCCACTGGGGCCTTAGGTGGAGCTCTCTATAGGGCCACGAAACGTGTGAGGGGTGTGTTGAAACAGAGACATTATGAAGGCAGGAGCAAGGACTGGGAGGGGGAGGAAGGAGGAGGAGGAGGAGGCGGGAGGGAGGGACGCGGGGCGCTGTCTCTTCAAAACGAGGACCCAACACCACAGGATGGTTGGGAACTGCGTAAATTTAACTTCCTTCCTCCCTAAACTTACCACTCTAATCATTGCAAATTCGATCCCAAACTCCCCACTTCCGTTTCCCAAACCAATCATCATCTACAATGCTCCCTTTGTCCTCGACGGGGTTTGGCCCCTAGCCCGCTCGCTGACTTTCAGCTCACCAAAGCCTGCGGCGCTTCTGGCTGTGCCACCGCGGCCGCCGTGGCGGAGCGCAAGCGATGTGGGCTGACAGGCTCCGCCAGTGGCGCCGCCTCGCCTGTGTGAGGTGCCCCACGCAGCGGCGGAACGGCCGCGGGTGCTGGCGCCGCCTCGACCGCGCCCGTGGCTCCACGTGGCGGCGCCGTCGCTGGTGCCGCGGTCGCTGTCGACTCCTCAGCGGGCGCCGTGGGCGCGGCGCGCACGCTGCGTGCGACCGGCGGCGGCAACGCATCGAGCAGCAGACGCCGCGCGAAGGCCGAGACTGGGCGGGGCCGGCGTGGGGCGGAACTATCGGCGGCAACCGTGGGCTGCACGGCGCGGGGAAGGCCGCCAACGTTCGAGCGGCCCCTGGTCATGCCGCCCTCGTCGTCAGTGGCGCTGTTGGGTGAGTACTCTACGTTGAGGAAGGGCCAGCCGCCCACGTTGCTATCGTCAGACGCCTCAGCGACTGGGGACGACGCCTTTGCAGCCGCCTGCGGGGGCGCAGCCGTTGCTGCACTTGCAGCTCTCGCGGCTGCCGGTCCGTCAGGCCCTGCCCTAGGCGGCGGGGGCTGTGCGGCGGCCGCCACCGCGGCGCCCACTTTCGCCGCGGGCGCGGGCGGCGAGGCGCCCGCCTTGACCGCGTAAGCCCGTTTCGGCGGGGCGCCTGCGGCCGCCTCGGGCGCGGGCTCGCCAGTCCCAGCGGGAAGCAGGACCTCTGGAGTCTCGCCGTACTTCCTGCAGACATGGGCGTAGACCTCCGCCTCGGAACCCGTGTATCTGTCCAGCAGCGCGCCGAGCGTGCTGAGCTTGCCAGGATTCCTGCGCTCGTACACCCCGCGGATCAGCAATCGCAGGCGGGCGGAGTCTCCCCCTGGCGCCACGGCGTCGGCGGCGCTGGGCCCTGTGACCTTCTTGTCCTCCACGTCCTTCGCCTTGCGCTTACCCTTCTCCCCCTTCTCCTTCTTTTTCTTTTTCTTGGCCCGTGCTTCCTGAGCAACGGGGTCTGGCGGCTCTGGGGCGGCAATTGCCGGTGGCTGCAACTGCGGATCAGCCCCGCCGAAAGCCTCGGCACCGCCAGCGCTGCTGGTGCTGCTCAGGGCGCCCCGGCCGCCGTCGTCTGCCCTGCTCTTCTTCCTTTTCTCGCCGCCATGTTTCTCCTTCTTTTCTTTTTTTTTGTCTCCTTTCCTCTTCTTCTTGCTGGTGCCCTGTGCCGTCCTCTTTTCCACCATGTGGTCTGACGCAGCGTCCTTGTGCGTCGTGCCGCGGGGATCCTCGCCATACTTTTGGCACACGGTCGCATATAGGTCGCCGAGGGAGTCGCCGTACTTCACCAACAGCTGCGGCAGCTCCTCCAGCTTGGCTGGGTTGTTGCGTTCGTACACGCCGCGGATGAGATCGGGCAAGCTCGTTGCATTCTCTGCGGGAGCTCCCTCTTCGGCGCCGACCGCGGAGTCGCCTTCAACAGCGCCCGCCACGGGCTCGTTGTTCGCCTTGCCGCCAGCCTCGCTGCTGCCGCCCGCGGTGGCGCCCTCGTCCCCCGGCAAGCTGGGCGGGGACGGGAGCTCTGGGAGGTCCGCCAGCGCCTCCTCCAAGTGCGCGATGGCCTCGCTCCCAGCATCCGAAGCCGACCCGGCCTCCTCCAGGCGGTGTGGGCCCGCCGCTTCCTCCTCCTCCTCGTCCTTAGAGGGCAAAAAATCCACCCCCATAATAACCACCCCGACAAGCGAGGCCGTTTACTAAAGGCCCCCACTGAAGGAACCGAAGAGGGCAGGGCTGTTTAGTAAACGCCCAAGGCCGCTTAGTAAACGCCAATTGTCCAGTCCGGGTGGTTTTTCCTCCCTTGACTCCTGGCCCCCATCGGCGGGTGCAGCCACGGCCGCATCCGCGGCCACCGTGGCGCCGCCGTCGCTGCCCTGCGCCTCTGGCGGCGGGCCATCTTCGTCCGCCTCGCGGCCAGCAGCTGCAACCGATCCCCCGTCGCGCGAGCAGCTACACCTTCGCCGCCTGCGCTCGTGCCGACGGGGCCGCTTGGCGGCTTCGCTGCCCTTCTTGGCGCGGCCCCTCTTTTTCTTCTTTCGGGCACAACGCTCGCCCCCCCCCTCGTCGTCCTCCGCCGCCGCCCCGCTGTGGCTACGCACGCCCTGCGCGGGCTCGGCCGCGGCCTGGGTCGTCACCGGCGCCTCTGCGGACCCAACCTGCGGAGCGGCCGCTGGCGATGGCGCGTCCGCCGCGGCGGGCTCCTCGCCGGCCCCGGTGCCCTCGAGCTCTTTCCCGCCGACGGGCTCGGCGCGTTCTGGCTGGCCACCGCCCTCCGCGACAGCTCCACGCGGTCCTGGGCTCCAGTCCAAGACCTCGGTGGCCACCTCCGAGTCTGAACCCTCCGGCGCCTCCGCGTCTGCCTTGCCGCTCCCCTGCGTCGCCGCCTCATGCGCGAGTGCAGCCGCGCCGTCGGCAGAGCGGCTGCGCTCGGGTGCCTTCGAGCCCGTGCCCTTGCGGCGCTGGCCGCTCGGGGAGCGGCGGCGGGCCTCGGCCTCTGACCTGCGCCCCCGTGCGGCCCTGGAGGCCGAGCGGCGCTCGCTCACAGAGCGGCCCCCGCGGCCGCCGGGCGGCGAGCGCCTCGGCGGCTCCGCGCTGCCCGCGTGCCGCCGCGCGCGGCGCGCCGGGCTGCCGCTGGTGGCGCCACGGCCGCGGGCCGCGGCGCGGCCCGCGGGGCTGCCGCGGCGCCGGCGCTGCTCGTGGCGGCCGCCGTCGGCGCTGCGGCGGCGGGCGCTGCGGCGGCCCGCGGCGCTGCCCGCCCGCCTGCGGGAGCGGTCGCCCCGCGCGCCCGACCTGCCGCGGGCCGCGGAGCGCGCCCCGCGAGGCGACCGGCTCCGTGGCATGCGGTGGTGGCAGCGATCCAGCGCCGCGCCGCCGGCCGCGCGGGGGGCGTCCGCGCGGTGGCCCCACGCGCCACCGCTTTTGGCTCGAGGCAAGGGGGGGGGTTCGTGTCGAGGCGCGTGGGGGAGACCCAGTGCCCCGAAAGCGACGAGCGAAGAGAGAAGGGGAGGGTCCCGCTGCGCGCTCCGTCGGCGAGAAGGGAGTTCTGAGGTCTGGAGTCACGCCAACGGCGGCGCATGCCGCGAGGCATCTCAAGCCTCGCAAGAGATGGCGAGCATTCTGAAGTCACAAAATCAACATCCTTACTCTGAGCTTACGTTTTCCTGACCATAGCGCGCGAGGAAGTGAGGCCCCGACTACACATCTTGGCGCCATTTCCCAAGGAATCTGAGCAATAATGCCACACTAGCAAATATTTTGGATGTCCGAGCGAAATTGGCTCCGAAAGATGTTGACACCCTTTCCGATCAATTCGAGGGCAAATCGCAATCGTGCGATTTCGCGCTAGATGCACTCACAAACTCGGTCCGAGAGATGATACATGTTACCTGGTGGCACGCCCCCTCTGGGCCTCTTGACATGGTTTCTGAGGAGCGCGGGGGCGAATGCCAAATTGCCAGATTCGTGTGGGAGGTCTCGCAAACTCGGCCCTTGGAGGCCCAAACATACTGCGCAGTGCAGACGAAGACCCCCGCTGCGCCCTCTCAGACCGCTCCTGGAAATCTGCAACCTAGAACGAGAGGCCCAAGGGGCCCCAAGGCGCGGGGGAAGGGGCCCTAGAAAGAGGGGAGGGTCATCTCCTTATCGCGTCCACCTCCTCTTCCTTCTCTGGCTTCGCAGGCGACGAGGCGCGGGAAATAAGGCGAGACCGTGGTTTCGCGAGGTCGTCACAAAATCGACTCCCAGAGGCCCCGAGATGCTGCCCAACGAAGTCCCCCCGCCTCACCGCCGAACAACGTTTCTGGGGGATACAAGCACGAATCCAACCTGCGGTTTGGCGTGGCATGTCTTTTGCGAAACTGGCTACAGGAGGTCTCGAGATCCTGTCCTGACTCCTTCTCCAAAGAACCTGATGAGACATGTGAAACGTCTGGTGGGAAGTCCTTGCAAAATCGGCCCCGGAGGTTCCAAGATACTGCCCAGTGAGGGTCACAGCATCACAGTCGCTTCTTCTCGCACTGCCATTTGACCGTAGGACTTCGTCTTCGTCGCCTACGCATCTCCCGAAGACGACTCCAAAACAAGCGCTTTCGAGTGGGAGTCGGAGTCCTTCGTATAACCAACCCTGGACCTCCAAGAAACGTCCCCATGCAGCAGGTATTCTGAAACCGTTTCCAGGATATCCCAGGAATCCGAGAACGAGTTCTAAAGGGGGCTTTCGAGTGAATCATCTCTCGACCCCCAAGAGGGATTCCCTACTGCACCTGTTCATCTCTATCACCAGTGTTGCGAAAATATGCATGCCAGTGGCGCAAGGCGAAATATACGTACACAACAACTTGGGATCATCTGCGGAACGGCTGGCTGACATCCGCCACCGTGCCCCCTGGCATGTTGAGGCGTGGTAGAATGCCCAGTGCTGCCTGATAGGCCCCTGTAACGTTTCTAAAGGCCACGCGCGCACCCAGCTGCGTGCATCGCCCCCCTCTCCCCGAGGCCCGAACCCTTGGCGAAATGCGACAGACTCGCACTCCCGAGGCCTCACCCCCCTCGCAATTTGCCCCCCACAAAAAAAAAAACGTTCCCGAGACCACGATGCCTCCAAGACGGCCCAAACAGGTTCCAAAACCGCCCACTGTGACCAAGATGGCATCGAGACGGCCCAAAAGGCCTTCGAGATGTCCCAAGGCAGCCCCAAGAGCCTTGCCATGAGGGCCTCGAGAGGCACACATTAACATGTCACAATGGTGTTTCGATGTTTGTGAGGTCCTCGCCTTTTCGAGTTCCCGACGTCCCAGGACGACCCGAAGAGGCCACCAAGAGAAGTCCTAGACGGCCGAAGGGACCCCCGAGGGGGCCCCAAGACAACCCGAGATGGCTGCAAGACCGCCCAAGAGGCGCCCAAGACTGCCCAATAGGGTCCGAAAGCGGCCACAAGGAAGACCCAAAAGGGCACCACAACGGCCCAAGAGGGCCCCTCCTGGGAGCCCCACGACTGCCTCACAGGAGACCAAGACAGCCACACGACGGCTAAACCGAGTTCCATGAGGATTCTGCAACTAGTGAAGAAGAAAGTTGTTACATGTGACGGGCTTCCTCTTCCTCCTCTTCATCCTGCCTCTCCTCCTCCTTCGCACCATCCTCACCATACTCATCCTCGCCTCCCTGCTTGACCACCACCACCACCACCATACTCATCATCATCATACGCATCCCGACCCGCACCATCATCATAATCATCATCGCCACCGCCACCATCATCCTCGGCATCGCCGTTGCCGTCCATACCGTCATCATCGTCATTATCACATCATAATCGTGATCAGCATCATCATCAGCATCACCATTATCTTCCACCAAGATAACCGTCCCCAACATATTATGCTCGTTCCTCCTCGGGCCCGCAGTACCTGGGACAGGTCGCTCCTGTCTCACTCGCGAGTGCTACTGCACGCGGAGATGTACAGCAACACTCGTCGCAGTGCGCTGCGAGGTCTAAGCTGGTGCTGCACACCGGCGTAGTCGGTTCCACGCCTGTGCCCTTTCGACAGCCATGCGACCATACATCATCATCATCATCATCATCATCATCATCATCATCATCAGCATCATCAGCAGCAGCAGCATCATCCTCATCATCATAATCAGCATCACCATCACCATCGTCGTCATCATAAGAAACACCATGATGATCAACATCATCATCGTCATCATCATCGTAACAATACGCGTCGTCATTATTATAATCATCATCGCAATCAACATCATCATCAACGCCATCATCACCATCATCATCACCATCATCATCATCATCATCATCATCATCATGATCATCGTCATCATCGTCATCATCGTCATCATCATCATCGTCATCCTGCACCTGGCCCGGCTCTTTGGCAAAGACGGTGCAGGGGTTCCAGTCCACCTAGTCCCTGCGGGTTCCAGGTGTCCCTCGCACGCTGGAGGCATCGGCGCCAGGCAGTCTATGGGCTCGGCCTTTTCATCTGGTGCCACTACAATGTGTTTTTTTCAGCTGCGAGGCCAACGTGGGTGCTGCTATTGGGTGGAGAAACCACCTCTGCGCGGTCGCAGCGTCACGCACCTACGTCGTGGTATTATTTTTCGTCTGCGTTAAAGTGGTGTTAGACGTCAGGCTCCCACTCACTATGTCGAGGGCGTGGCTGGGCATCGTGGAAATTTGCAAATCTTCATCATGCTATGTGGGTTCTCGGCAATTTTGCGGTATCAGCGCTGATTGTTTTTCTTGGCGACCCCAGCTGGAGGCACAAACGTTGTTGTCATCGTGCGGATGGGAGACAGGCCCTTCGTTTTCTCGTTCGTTGGCGGCCCCATCATGGTCTGCCAAATTGTGCTCGCCAGCTGCGTGGTCATCATGCTCGTGGGATGCAGATTGGTTGTGTTCATGCTCGTGGGCGGCAGTTTCGTTTGAATCATGTTCGCCCAAGACTTCGCACTTCCTGTGGCGCTCAGTCTCGCGAGTCTCAGCTTCGTGTTCAAGCCCGATGGCGGAAGTTTTGTGGTCGTCGCGCCCGTGGGCGGCAGCTTGGCGGTGTTCACGCTTGTGGGCAGCAGCTTCGTGGCGCTCACACCCCCAGGCGGCAATTCCATCGCGTTCACGCGC